CTCCTTTCGAATTTTGGAATTCCATAATTTTAAATAAAAATAACTATTTCTTACAGTCACAGCTACAATCCTAACAAAAGAATGAACTTAAATTTTGTCATTCCCACTTTAGTGACAGAGATGGCTGAAATCAAACCAAGTATATGGTCCAGTAAAGGTACAGGTACCTCATCCATGAAGCCACACCTGTGGTGGGTTTGAAACAAACACAACAAAAAGAGTGAGAGTGTGCTGACAGGGTCACGTCCCGAACCCGAAGTTCATAGCTGTTGTTAGAGCTGCATCATGGGCAGAGATTAAGATCAAAAGGCTGTCTAAAAAAATGGAACATATAGCCTCAGGCCAAACTTTAGTCCATACTAAGGAAAATGCCCACTTTTCCCTCCCCTCACAGCTCATCTCTTCTATTCTTCTTTATTCTTTTCCAGTCATGGGCGGACTTCCTATTTAATTTTTACACTCAAGATTTTAATTCCTACTATATAAAGAGAACTTTGTAAAAAATCATATGATTCTACTTTTATACCATATTCCTAAAGGCCTAAGGAGAAACAAATTCTCTTAAAAGATGTAATGAGAGCTAAAATAATATAGTCCTACTATGCACCTTTGAAAAAAATGTTTGAGGCTCTGATATTATTATTCATGGCTTTAGTAAATCATTGTTCATTATTACTCACATTTAGGAAGTATAATCTTTATTACTTCCATTGGAATATTATCTCAGATTCTGCAGCTTAGTGCCTTCATTTAGGATAAAATGTAAAATATTACAGGGCCAATTCATTACTCTTCGAACATATATGTGTCTTCTTATTCTCATTCCATAGACTGCCATGTGCTTTACCACTGGCAAAATCGTTATAATCAACAGTATGGAAGGCTGGGCGAGAGTTAAGCTAATTATAATATCTTCAGAATCTCATAACAAGATTTGGAAACCAACTGCCATGCGAAGATTGTTTTTATTCACTCCCTCAAAAATCAGAAAATTATGATCAATTTGCACAGTGCTAGATGCCAAAGCCATGTGGAGCTTTATAAACTTCAGTCAACAAGAAGTTCTCTTTTTAGTTTATCCTTGATAATGAATGATTTTAATTTCATTAAACATTGTGTGCTGCAAGGACTATCTGTGGGCTGGAATATTAAATTGAGCATATTCAGCTAGTAGATTTTATTATTTAAGCTGGATTTTTTTAGAGAACTGGGACTCAAGGCAAGTATCAAGATAATTTTTTAATCCAATCTCCTCACAAAAAAAGCAAATTAATAAAATTTTGCCCTGATTATCTGATTATTTCTTAATTCTCCATTCCACCTCTAAGGACTGGATTTGTGTAGTGAAGTAAAATATTGTATTCTAATCATTTTATTATTTTGTCTTCTCTCCCTATAAAAAAAATGATAGTTGTGAGAATGGAAATTATGTCTCTTCTTTTATTTTTAACTTATTTTCCCTAATTGCTAACAGAGTAGTTAGCACATATTAGGCCTGCATAAATATTTAACAATCGAATGAAGTCAGAGTCTAGCCTTAGAAAAAGGAACTTATTAAAGAATTACCTCTTTTGGGGCACCTGGGTGGCTCAGTTGTTAAGCGGCTGCCTTTGGCTCAGGTCATGATCCCAGGGTCCTGGGATGGAGCCCTGCATCGGGCTCCCTGCTCAGCGGAAAGCCTGCTTCTCCCTCTCCCACTCCCCCTGCTTGTGTTCCCTCTCTCGCTGTGTCTCTCTCTGTCAAATAAATAAATAAAGTCTTAAAAAAAAAAAGAATTACCTCTTTTTTCCATTCTTATCTCTATTATCTTGTAAATTATCTAAGTATTTCTAATAACAAAACCACAATGCCACACTTCAATCACATAGAAAGCTTATATTTCCATTCTTTTTCTATCAGCAGAACTTCTAGAGGCACACAGTTGAGAAGAAATAAGTTCAATAATTATTGATTTATTATTGATGTTTCTCCCATCAAATCGATGTGATCACTGTGCTTATTAAATGCAGATCTATATTTTATAGCATGAAGGAAAACCTAACATGTGCAGGCTACATTTTTGAGCATTTACTATGTGGTAGAAGTAATATGTGCTTTGCTTACATTATTCTAATTTAACCCTCTCAGCAAACTGATGGCATACATATTACTATTCACATTTGGCAGGATAGAATATTGAGATTTAGAGTTAAGTATCTTGCCTGATATCATGCAGCTAATAAATAATAGAGCTGTGATTTGTCCTTAGATTGACTTCACCATCCATTCTCTGCCCACCGCACCACACAGCCAAATACTAAAGTGATTGTATGTCAGAGGGCTATCACACTTGTCTTTGAAGCCATCATTGATTTCGTTCAAGTCATTCATGTCACGAATCTAACATATTTTTGAAGATAAATCTGATTTTAAGTGTAAGGAACTCAAGTAAGAAACCTATTTGTTTTTATTATGTTATGTTAATCACTGTACATTACATCATTAATTTTTGATGTAGTGTTCCATGATTCATTGTTTGTGCATAACACCCAGTGCTCCATGCAGAACGGGCCCTCTTTAATTCCCATCACCAGGCTAACCCATCCCCCCACCCCCCTCCCCTCTAGAACCCTCAGTTTGTTTCTCAGAGTCCATAGTCTTTCATGGTTTGTCTCCCCCTCCAATTTCCCCCCCTTCATTTCTCCCTTCCTGCTATCTTCTTTTTTTTTTTTTTAACATATAATGTATTATTTGTTTTAGAGGTACAGGTCTGTGATTCAACAGTCTTACACAATTCACAGTGCTCACCATAGCACATACCCTCCCCAATATCAGGCAATGCAGACACTAATTGTTTTCCTTCCTCTCATTCCTGAGTAAACAATTAGTGTCTGCATTGCCTGATATACAAAATGTCAGTTTTACATAATATTTATGAACCTGCTCAAATCTGTCGAACTTTGCTACTTTTTAAATTTGGAAAGCTTCTTCCTTCAATACATTTTTGGGCTTGCTTGTTTGTTCATTAATACAAATGTCATATAGCTTAAGTTATGACACAAAAATGATTCCATTAGATTGTAACCTCAGTGAACACACATACACCCCCACACACTGACACACTTGCCCACAGTCTCTTTATTAATTCACACTGATTTTGAGCTCATAATATCTAGGCTTGTGAAGAGTACATAGGAAATTTTCACATAATTTCTGAAACCTTTGAAAACCATCCCTGTCATCTAACTAGTAAAAACTTCCGTGATATGATTTTAACAATATTACGGATTTTTTTTAATATGTTCTTGATCTATCTTATGAAATAAAGAGGTCAGGCTAATTGGAAACAAAGAATGGCTTAAATGTACTAAACAGTGCATTTAATACCAAAGCATGCAAATATCAATCAACATGTCAATCTCCCTTGTAAAGTTACATGGCTTTTCATATTAGCATTTGATTGAGTCCACCAAGGGGAAAATATGACTTATATATAAAATGGGCTTCTGAATCAGGCTCACTATAAAAAAATACTAAAGAGAATTTTATTTTCAAGATTCCACTGGAAATCAAAAACCATGTTGTTTCTCTGGGTAGCATTAGTTAAGGAAGGAAGGAAGAAAGAAGGAGGGAGGGAGGGAAAGAAGGAAGGAAAGAAAAGGAAGGAAGGAAGGAGGGAAGGAAAGAAAAGGAAGGGAGAGAAGGTAGGGGAGGGAAGGGAAGGGATGGGATGGGAAGAAAGGGAGAAAGGAAAGAAAGAAAGAAAGAAAGAAAGAAAGAAAGAAAGAAAGAAAGAAAGAAAGAAAGAAAGAAGAAAAAAGAAAGAAAGAAAGAATAAATTCCACTGGGGTCCCATTGGCCAAAGTGAGTGACCAACCAAATTGATGAAATCAATATGCAGGTCAAATACTTTTGCATACCAAAGCTATTATAAATGTAATAATGCTTCAATATGGATGCTTCTAATTTTTAAAGGGACATCCCAATGCAGAGCAAATGGACTCATCATTTCAGCTTTAATAAAAACAAAAGCATAAATCATTTGAATAATCACTTACAGTTTGTGGTAACAAAATGTGACCTATGTTAATGCAATGAACCTCCATCTCTTTCTCTAGATGCTTTCTCACAGTTGTCACTGGTATTACTTTCCTTACTCTAGGAGCACAAATATGTTCCACTACTGTAGACCCTATGTCTCCTTCAGAGATTATAAACAAAGACTAGCAATTCAGAGATAACAGATTTCTGTCTTTTTTCAGTAATTCTCCCTTCTAAGTGTAGTGAAACTGACTTCAGAAAAACAAACATAAATCCCCTTACTCTGTTTCTTTTTTCTTTTTAAAGATGGAAAATAAACCATTTTACATTCCACTGTCTCACTGTATTATAATACTTGATGTAATTAAGAATGTCTTTTGAACAGATTAAAGATACAGAAATGTTAAAATGAAGGAAAGCTCATGCTTTGTTTTTGGTTTTGTTTGTTTTTTTTAAGATTTTATTTATTTATTTGAGAGAGAGAACATGAGCAGGGCAGAGGGAGAAACAGACTCCCCACTGAGCAGGGAACCTGATGTAGGACTCGATCCCAGGACCCTGGGATCATGACCTGAGCCCAAGGCAGACACTTAACTGACTGAGCCACCCAGGTGCCCCTGAAAGCTCATGGTTTTTAAGAGAAAGAGTCCTGTTCAATTTTATTTAAGACTTATTTATTGCACCTAAATTTCATGACTATTGTTTTGAATCTTAAAGTAGTTGCTCTAAGTTTCATTTTTAAATTAATTTATTGTCTGTTATAAACATTCTATTGCCACAGTTATACTTTTAATACTTTGTGTCATTGAACACTTGTAGATGGCACAAATATAATAGCCAAGATACATAGTATAATCAAAGTATTTAAATAAAAACTAAAACAATTATTTCCATAGGTATTAACTTCCATTTGGTGTATGTAGATGCAGATGTATTAAAATTAATGGATATTGTTAAAAATTACATTCATTTTTTTTCAGATCCCAGAAGTTAGCAGAAATGATGAGCAAGAAAATGACTATGAAGATGATATTACCTCACTACTTACATATTCTCCCAGTAAGTGTCCCTGGATGTTATGAATATATGTATATATGTAGCATCTGTATTAAGGTACATATAACTGGTAGAATAAGACTGAAGAGAGCATAAGAGAGCATGGAAAGACATTTAATTAACTGAATGACTTTTAATTTATAATATGGTAGAAATGTTACTACATTATCTTGCTAGTTTAAATACTTCTATTAAGGGGCGCCTGGGTGGCTCAGTCACTAAGCGTCTGCCTTCAGCTCAGGTCATGATCCCAGGGTCCTGGGATCAAGCCCCACATTGGGCTCCCTGCTCAACGGGAAGCCTGCTTCTCCCTCTGCCACTCCCCATGCTTGTGTTCTTTCTCTCTTCAGTTGTTAGTCTTTCCTACCCAGAGAGAATACACAAGTCAGGTTGATGCAAATATTCCATTTGACAACTCTGTTTTTTCATTTTTTTAAAAAACAAAGTCACATTCTTTTCAGACCTTAGTTTTCTCTGCTAGGCAATGAGAAGCTTGGACTACAACTCTCTCTAAGGTCCTTACTGGCTATAATAGGATGTAATTCTATATTCTAATGTCTGAAGACTAATTCAGTCTTCTACCCATTATTCCAGATTCCCCTGATATACAATAGCTTGCTCAGCATCTTCACCAACATGCTTGATAGGCACCTCCCACTCAGCATTTCCAAAGCCAAAAACCCTAATGCCTGACCCTTTCAAACCTACACCTCCTGCTCACTTTGCCGTCGTCTCAGTAAGCGAAGATTCTTTCCTTGTTTAATTCCATCTAAAAACCTGGGAGTCTCCGTTGGCTTTTTTACTTCCTCTCTCACCCCATATCCAATTCAATCAGACAGGACTGTTGACTCTACCTTCACAGCATAGCCAGCATTCAGCTGTTCCTCACTCTTCCATGATTTATCCTAATCCATCCTGCCGTCAGCTTTCCCTGGATTATTGCAACAGCACAGTGGTTCTCAGCGAGGGACTATTTCCCACTCACAACAGAGGATCCTTGTCAATGAACAGAAGCTTTTTTATTATCATGACTTGAGAAGGGAGGTTTACAACTAGCATTCAGTGGGTGAACACCAGAAATTCTGCTAAATATCTTACAATGCACAGGACATACCCCACATGACACAGGATTATCCGGTCCAAAATGTCAGCAGTACTACTATTAAGAAACCTGGCGTAAGCAGCTTCCACATTTGCCAGCCCTAATACTCTATGCTCCTGAAGGAGTTAGTCATTTTTCTGTTCCAAATTTCCCAATACTTTCCCATCATACTTATCCTCATCATCATCTAAAAAGCCCTAGATAACCTTCTCGGTCCCATCTCTGACCACTCTCTTGTTTGTTCACCGCACAGTGACATCTCACATAGCAAGCATTCTCTGCCCGCAGGGCATTGCCCTTTTAACACTGCACAGCTGATATTCAGCTAACCATTATTGACCACTGGTTTCTCAAGTGGTAGGCAAATTGACCTGCAAATCAAATACAATTAAATACAATGTCTATCTAGCATAATTTGGCAAATCAGTAAACACCTTAAAAAGTTATGGCATAATACAAAATAATGCTAAATATTAATGAATTAATGCACTGATTTTTAAAGTTGCACATTTTATTTTTGTTTTTAGTAATAATAAAACTGATAGTGACCATTTATTTATTATGATTTAATCCTCAGAAGAACTGCCTATAAAGAGAAAAATGTTATTTCCATTACTTATAGAGAGCAATCTCATTTCCACAGATCATTTTTTTTTTAAAGATTGTATTTATTTATTTGAGAGAGGGAGAATGAGAGACAGAGAGCATGAGAGGGAGGAGGGTTAGAGGGAGAAGCAGACTCCCTGCCGAGCAGGGAGCCCGATGCGGGACTCGATCCAGGGACTCCAGGATCATGGCCTGAGCCGAAGGCAGTCGCTTAACCAACTGAGCCACCCAGGCGCCCCATCCACAGATCATTAGGACCTGGAATTGTCTTGTGTTTGAAATTCTGTGTGACTGGACTCAGGCCTCAGGCTCCTTAATGAGATAGGGGGTGAAGCACAGCACACCTTAGTTGGCAGATTTCCATTGGTATCGCCATCGCTATGAAGCTTGCTAACACTCACTGACCACTATATCTAACTCTCCAGGGCTGGATTCCAGGTTTGGACATTTTTGACAAGGACCAAGGAGACTCTGTGGCTTAGAAAGTGCATACATAAAACGTAAACACTGAATACATAAACATAAAGCAGCTACAAGTAATTTCCTATAGCATGAGTGTAATTCTAAGTTGATGATCGATTTGCCCAGACAGAAATAGTGAAGTTCCTTTGCTAGCCTGAGCCATAATTCCTTTTCAGTGGCTACATCAATGACTCCATCAACATTTCTAGAGACTACTTTATTTCAGGCTCAGTGCTTGGAGTTAGAGGAAGAAAGATGAATGAGATTTGTGCAAGAGATCTCCTTCTGTTGGCTGCTCTGCTTAGGCTGTTAATTAAAGAATCTTGGTCTGCAGTTCTAGTACTGAAATTACATCTTTCTCACATGAAAGGAAAGAACAATAAAAAATAAAATTCCATGTAGAAATATGAGTACCATCATGGCATGATTTTTCCTCATCACTAATTTTCTCCCATAACTGAAAAGTTTCTACAAAGTAACTGTGCGTTGTTTAAAAAAAAAAAAAAGGTCCTTTTTCTCCATACTCTGCCAATTGGCTTCTTTAGCCAAATCTCGGCTTAGCAACACTTTAAAACAACCATCTTCTGCTTGTTTATTGCACTGACAACAACAACAATTCACATAGTCCCTCCAATTTAGAGATTCCAAGTTTGTTTTAAAATTTTGTGAATCCTTTATTTGAAGCAGAATTTTTATAAAGACAATTTAAACAAAAAATTTTAAGATTTAAAGTTACTGCATTATAATATCTTTTTTCAATTCTTCCCGAGTGGTTAGAGGGTATCTGTTGTGTACACTATAAAAACAAATGATGTAATCATGATTCTTAAGATGGAGGGAATTTGGATTATTTGGTTAAGCTTCAGCATAGAATATATTTTATAGGTGACAGAACTGAGTCTTAGAAAGATTTACCTACTATTGGTGATTTGGATGCCTTCTCCACCAAAAAATATTAACATATTTTCAAGCATTAAGGTATAATCGGGTGATAATTATATATTAAAATATAATTAATAAGATCACATTATTATGATAATAATGATAATCATTGCCTTATTTACAAGCAAGTTAAGGTTTATTTTTTTCCTTGTATTTACCTTTTCCACAACTTACTTTTTATTGATTAGGTCAGTTATACTGTTTTCTTTTCTTTTTTTTTTTTTTTTAAAGATTTTATTTATTTATTTGACAGAGAGGGAACACAAGCAGGGGGAGTGGGAGAGGGAGAAGCAGGCTCGCCGCAGAGCAGGGAGCCCCATGTGGGACTCGATCCCAGGATCCTGGGATCATGATCTGAGCTGAAGGCAGTCGTTTAACCAACTGAGCCACCCAGGCGCCCGGTTATACTGTTTTCTAATAAAAGTGCAGTAATACAAACATATATATAACTCTGCTCAAACAATAACTCTAGAGAACCAGAATGTTATTGTATGCATGAGTGTGTCGTATAGTGAGGTAGCAAGATATGACGAAGCTTTAACTGTTCATTTGGTAAATATTTTAAAAGCCCAAGAATGACTATTCACTAAAATTATGCGCTTGTCATCTTTCTACCATATCAGCTCATAAAAGCTTTATTAGCAGTACTACCACTTCTGTATGAAATTAGAAAATATGAAATGCCTCCAGATGGTGTGTTTCAATGAAATCTACCATCTTCATCATGAACAGCCACACAGAACCCAGCATTTCATCGCGCAAGCGGGCGGACTTCATATAGGCGGCGTGCGGAAGGAGCTGAGGCCGATGAACTGGCAAAGGAAGAAAAAGAGAATGCATTGGGCACAGAGGCCGAGCAGAGCCTCGCAGAGGTTGGAGGTGGGAGTTCTGTGACCGAGTATGATGATGACTTGTATGTGTTCATTCCTGGAGACAATCCAGAACATAATTCACCAGAGCAACTCGTGAGGTGCAGACCCCCTCTCCCCCCGCCACGACCTGTAGCTGCTGCCTCCCAACTGGAAACACCGCACTGCACATTACAGGGTAAGTTTAAGGTTAAAACAACAACAGAAGTTTGACAGGCTTCCATAGCATATAGTGCAGTGGCAGATTTGTTACAGGGAAGATCAGCTTTTAAAACCAAGAGCAGCTTTCCTGCTCTTCCTTAACTAAGGCCTCAGAAATCAAGCAAGAGATACCTGCCACTGATTCACCCACAGCCTCTTTCCCTCCCTCCCTCTCTCTCTTCCTTTCTTTCCTTTTCTCTCCCTCTCTTCACCCTCTTTCCTCCCTCCTTCCCTTCCTCCTCCCCTCCCTCCCTTTCTTCTAGAACAGTCTCATTATAAAGCTTTAAATAAGTAAAGCAATAAAACTTGGAAGGAGTCTGTAGTCCTTCACATAAAATGAACCTCAAGAATCATGTGGGAAAGTAAATGACAACTTTCCTTTTAAAAAGTACTCTTAGTTGTCTGGCAAAAGGAAAAGGCTAATGTTTTACAGATTTGAAAATGACCTTGGGCACTTTCACTCCACTGGTAGCTGCAGGGGAAGCAAGTGGTAAAGAGTTTATCACACACTGCATTGAGACCGAAGTCTAAGAACACTCAATATATTGCTAAAGTGGAAGAACAGTTAAAGGGCTATGATTACATTTCTTCCCAAATGCAAGAATGACCTGTGTAATGGGGGGGAGGGGGCGTGAGGGAAGGGGGTGGTGCAGGTACCATCAAGATGAGCTTCCGTATTGGACTTATCTGGCTGGAGTGTTCAACAGCCTAACAGACTTCCAGCTCCAGGTTCACTCTACAGTCACTAATTATCACCCACTTTATTGATCACTATTTTATATCTACTTTCCACATTCAAAAAGTGTTCTTACAATAAAGTTTTAATAAGAAAGATGAAAGAAATATCTGTTATTAAAACTCTGTTTGTCATTATACTTTTTAGCTGTTGAGCCCTAGAGGGTACAAAATATATATAAACACTGTTTAAAAAAGGTGGATTTTGAAGCCATGAAATTTAGCATTTGCATCATTGAAGGGCCTGTCTCTATAAAGGTTCAAGTTGATGAACATAAACCTTTACTAAGGTTATACACTGTATTTAGAGATGAAGAGTCCTCCTTAATGGAAAGTATGGAAAACCTCATGGTCATGCCTCTGATTCTTTCACTCATTCAACAAATATTTATTGATTACCTACTATGAGCCAAGCTCTTATAGACCATTGCGATAGATCAGTGAAGTAAGTGTATCAATACTGGGGGTGGGAAGAGAGACATAGATAAGCAGCACACTGACAATAAAATTCTGGTATATTTTCTCACTTTCTACAGATGTGAATAATTTCATATAACTATTAAAATACATTGTTAAGAAGGCAAAGTTGTCTTTTATCAGGCTAAATCTCTTAAAAGGACTAATAATAAATAATATTTTCCCAAATGTAAATTTTTATGCATAGTATATTGGTTAGGAGGTCTAAAACTACTCTATAGAGACTATTCACCAGATATCTAAAACCAGAAGTATACATTGGCTAATACATCTTCTGAAAAGTACCAAATAGAAAAAGCAAGATAAAACAAAAAAATCCCCACTTTTTATTTTAAAACTGTACTTTTACACTTTCTATGCAGTGTTACTTTTGATCTCATCTTTCATAGGGCTAATATTGGAAATATTGTAAATGGAAAATAAAATGTCAATATTTTTTCTTAAAATTCTTTGATTAATGTCTTAGTAAAAAGTAAGACTAGAAGCTACCACTTCTTTTTTTTTTTTTTTTTGCCGGAGATTTGGTATGGGTTCTTTGAATTTAGCTAGTGATACCTTCAGAATTGTCTTCTAAGACTAGTTTCATATGCCCTCAAATTATCAAAAAAGTGAGGCCCCCTCCTCATATCCTGAGCATTAGATTCCCCATAATGGATTTATGGGCATATTCACTGGAGAAAACAAGAATCAAAACACTATAGAACACTTTTTGGTTTATAAAGAACACATTGTCCCTTTTTATCTTCACAACACACATGCAAGACAACAATCACTATGATCCCTCTTTGACTCAGACCCAAGACCACAGAGCCTGTAATTAGAATGTATCAAATACTTCTATAAACCGGCTTCCTCGGCTTTGAAGAGTCTTCTCTTTGTTACACACTCTTCCTCTAATTTTTTTTTCAAAAATTAGAATGATAGGAGTGATTTATTTTCAACTTTATTTACTAATGTACAGTTTAAATTAAGAATGCTCAAGCCCCACTCTGACATGAAAAGTGGAATCTGATACATTGAGAAATAAGAAAGTAAAATGTGTTATTTCTGGTGCAAGCCCAACTTTAGAAAGAGTTGGGAAGGAAGGTGGGTGGAGAAACAAAGGGAGTTAGCAGCTCAGGAAATGGGTTGATAAAAGTAAGATAGTTGACACATTCCGCTAAAAATGAAACACTGTAAAAATGTTTCCCACACACTTAATCTGGTTTCACCTGTTATGCTGTCAGTGAAACAGAAGTCATGAAGTGAAAATCTCAGTACCATATTATTCATAGGGAGAAAGGCAAGTCATGCTGATTTGGAAGTTAGTGCTAGGCATGTAGTCATTAGTACTTCTTGGCTTAAACTAACTGAAACAATCAGATTTAAGACTCTTTTGGGGGAGTCCTCATGAGCCTACCCAGAACAATGGCTGAACTACTTAAGATAATATATATTTTATTCTGCTCTACAACTTGTCTTTCTCCTTAGCTTCTACATTTTTCCACTAAAATATCCATAAATAACCTAAATTGTTTTGGTCAGATTGTCACCAAAGAGGAAACAGCATAGTTCTCCCTTCAGTCACATGTGTGAATCTCTCAGAACAACCCACAAAAGTAATGATTTTTCAGTCAGTAACTGAAATTCTTTCCATTTTATTGTTTTCATTAATGCTTTAAGCAAAACATCGGTCAAAAGTCTAATTTTTTAAAGATTTTATTTATTTATTTTAGAGAAAGAGAGAACGGGTGGGGAGGGGCAGAAGGAGACGGAAAGAGGGTCTCAAGCAGACTCCATGCTGAGTGAGGAGCCTGACAGGGGGCTCGATCCCAAGACCCTGAGATCATGACCAGAGCCAAAAACAAGAGTCAGACGCTTAACTGACTCTGCCACTCAGGTGCCCCAAAAGTCTAATTTTTAATAAAATTCTCATTGGTGTGGCAGGGAGCCATCAAAATGTTTTCCAACTTATTCATTAACCAAAGTATGCGATACCTTTGTCTTCTAAATAACTGCTATAAAATATTTTAATACATTCTTTAAAAAATATGTAAAGATTTTACTGGCTATTAAAACCATGAAAGATTACTCTTTTCATATGAATTAATCTTCAAGTCATTGATTATCCATGCCACCTTGTCACAAACCCTACTTTCAGTGTTCTTTATCTAAGAATGAGGTTCATGCTGTCTTACAGACATCAAGAGTTGCATTTTGGAACCTCAGTTTGTTAAGCCACAGTGAGACTTCCTGTAAGAAACCAAGTGATGGCATGTTTGGCTAGTCCCCCTGTCATTTTCAGATAAATTGAATGTTAGGCAAAACACCCAGTGCAAGCCCAATGAAAGGTGAAATAACTTCAAGTGAAAAAAAAAAAAAAATCTTAGCATATTCTGCTTGAAAAACAAGTTTTCCAAAGCGTTTGGGATTTGAGGCTTAGTTTTATCACTCGATTTTCTGATATTAAATCCCTTATAAATTATCTGGAAAATACTTATATGCCTATTTATATGTTTTCAGAGAAGTCCATGTTTTAAACAAACCTTTTTTTTTTCTTTAAGATTATATTTTTAAGTAAACTCTACTCCCAAAGTGGGGCTCAAATTTACAGCCCTGAGATGAAGAGTTGCATGCTCTACTGGCTAAGTCAGCCAGGAGCCCAAACAAACCATTATTGGTTTTTTTAAGATTTTTTATTTTTTATTTGACAGACAGAGAGTACAAGCAAGGGGAGCGGCAGGCAGAGGGAGAGGGAGAAGCAGGCTCCCTGCTCAGCAGGGAGCCCGATGTGGGGTTCGATCCCAGGACCCCGGGACCATGACCAGAACCGAAGGCAGACGCTTAGCCATCTGAGCCACCCAGGTGCCCCCAAACTTTTTCTTTAAACAAAGTTAACAATTACAAACTGCAGGAGAATATGTTAGTAAATTATATAGTGTACTTTTCTTTTTGAAATTTATGAGAGTATATATAAATTATTTGGGGAGAGTTTCAAGGAAGTGACAGATGGACATCAACAATATTGCATAAAATAGAAGAGTAACCACCATCTAAATATTTCATAAGCAGGGAAAATGGTGGAAGGCCAGACGGAAAAAAGTCAAAATTGGTGTGATCTCGGAGCAAGACAAGAAACAGGAGGTGAACCCAAAGAAGAAGAAAAGAAAGAAGATGAAAAGGAGCAGGAGAAGGAGGAAGACCCGTACACGTTTGTTGAGACTGAAGACAGTGACTATGACGTGATACTGGCCAATATGAGTACAAAGAAAAAATTGGGGAGTCGGTCTTTTATTATAAACAGACCTCCTGCCCCTACACCTCGACCCACAAATATCCCTCCAAAAGAGGAAACCACACCTTACATAGCTCAAGGTAATGCTTTTTGTTGCGTGTGTGTGTGCGAGTGTTTTGGGGGTGGGAGGAATTGTCCTCTTTTTAGTGGGGTCAAAAACCCCAAAGATGAAAAATCCAAGTCATAGGTGAGTTCTATTGGCCCATTTTTAAATTTAGAAACATAATGAATAAAGAAAACAAGAACAATGGGTAGGGTTCTTGTTTCTAATTCTTCATTAAAGAAGGATAATTTTGATAAATTATCCAAGAACATGAAACCACAGCTTGTGTGGAGAAATTCTATTTGAAACTTTTTCTATAATTCTCTAAGAGGGAAGCTCAACTCCTATGAATAATTTGCAACACAAGATAAGAGGTAAATACTTTACTTTTGCCCCAACTTTACTTTTTGCTCCTAATTCCATGTAAAATAACTTTAAAAACCTAAAAAGTTGTGAAAACTAGAATCTCAGATATACAACCACAATTACTCTGATAATTGTACTTCACCCCAACAATTAAGATTCACTTCATCTGTCATAGAATTTCTACTTCATTTTACACTTCAATTCTTCTTTCTCATTTTCTACTCAGTTGAATCTGAATAAAAAAACTAACAGATCCTGGAGCTTTTTTTATATCTATAGCCCCAGCAGAGTACATTTACACTACTATTATTTTCTGGCATTCTTGTATACTCTGTTTGGTTTGATGTAGTCCACAAGTCCATTGTGTCTGAGAGATGGACTTTTATTTATCAGTGCATTGCATGCATTTTGGGGCTAAAATACCACCCTAGGGACTGAGAAAATGGGCTAAAACAATTTCTTCATCCTTGAGGAGTTCCTAGGTGATAGATATGCAAATAAATATCCAGAGTACAATGTGACACTTTTTTAGAGATTTTTTGAGCAAAATGTTTGGGGGATAACTAAACTGAGAAGCAATCAATTATACATTCAAACAATTTAAACCAAGTACTCAAACAGAACATTTAAATGTATACCACGAACCTGCCCAAAAGAAGCACATTTACTCCTCTGTGCTTAATATGTTCAAAAGAAACCATTCTATTGCTTAAGCATTATGTTTTGAGAAATTTGTATAAGAAAATATAGCGAGTATATATAATTTCCAGTGTACAATATATTTACTCAACAGTGTTCTGCTGATAATGTTCAAGGAACTATTAAAAATTAGAAAATAATAACAAATTAATAAATGTGTCAGCTAAAATAAAATGTCAACTGGAACAATTATCTAGATTATTAAGGCAGGGATTAGCTGTAATTAGAAATTCTTAGATTGTCTAGCATAGTGACATCTAGGATGTTACTAGCTCTTAGACAAGGATACTGCCTCCCAATAAGTATTTTTTAAAGAGAGAAGAGAGAAACAGCTCAACACAAGAATTTAGTTGTATTCGAGAAATTTCTGAAGTGGTACTTCGTCCTCTGTATCCCAGTCCTTGGGGAGTTCTCAGGACCACAAATAGAGACTCCTGTGTTGCGGTGTTCTATTTTTTGCATTTTATCTTCTCATCCTTTTATGAGCTGTCATATTCTTATTTTCCATGAGCTCTTTCTTGTTCTCTATTTGGTTTTTTGGGGATTTTATTTATTTATTTATTTGACAGAGAGAGAGAGCACAAGCAGGGGGAGTGGCAGGCAGAGGGAGAGGGAGAAGCAGACTCCCCACTGAGCAGGGAGTCTGATGCGGGGCTCGATCCCAGGACCCTGGGATCATGACCTGAGCAGAAGGCAGACGCTTAACCATCTGAGCCACCCAGGCGCCCTTTAAGAAATTTTAAAAGCTATTTATCTCCCCTACTTATCACAAGTTTGACACGCTTCAGCATTTATAAGAAATCTTTCTAATTCAATTACACAATGTGATTTATTCTCCTTTCCATTATTTATTCCTTTCCTCTTTCACTGGAATTTACTTGCTTTCCTCTCCCTTTTGTGCTATTGATTGTTGATCATTCTCTTCCCACATTAAGAAAACATTGCCTCATCAGCTAATTCTTTCTTGATGTTCTTTGCATTTCACAGGATAAAAGTCTTTCATCACATCTTTCCTCTTTTTTTTTTTTCTCTTTTTCATAGCTCAGGCAGCTCTATTAAATAAAATTGCCATCATTTCCCAGAAAGCCATCCATTCAATTAAAAGAACATTAATTTGCCCCGGTTCTTGCCAGAGCACAGAGGCAGTAACGGAATGTTGGCACATCCAGAGTATGTTAATGTAGCCCAAAGAGAAGGATGTAGAATAGGAGACGGAAGAAGAAAGCAAGATGCAGAATCCCAACTTACTATTTCAGAAATTCAAGAAAGTACTGGCAAGGAAACTAGGCAAATAAACCAGAGAGATATAGGAAAATCATGTTGGCTTTTGCGAGATCATAGAAAACATGTCTGTTGGTGTCCACCTCTAGTTCCTGGCACAGAGCTCCTGAAACCTTTGTGATTTCCTGGATGACAGGAAGGTTTTTTGCTCTAATGAGGCAACTCTGAATGGGCTCCTGAATGGCTGGATGACGGCTGGTCATGAAATACACCAAGCCATGATTAGAAGCTTAGAATCTTCAGCCCTAGTCCCCCATTTTCTTGAGAAGGGAGAAGGGCTGAACATGTACTTATTGATCAATAGTGCCTATGTGAGGAAGATTCCATAAATCCTAATAGTAGGGGATTCCCAGAGATTCCATGTTGGCAAACAAATCCACACAGGAAGGCTGACACACCCCAGCTCAGTGGGGATAGAAGCTCCTGCACTCAGGACCCTGAGTATTGTACTCTGGATATTTATTTGCATATCTATCACCTAGGAACTCCCAGACCTTGTGCTATGTATCTTTTCATCTAGCTGTTCATCGGTATCCTTTATCATATCATTTAATACACTGGCAATTATGTTTTCCTGAGTTTTGTGAGCCACTCTAGCAAATTAATTGAACCTGAAGAGGGAGTCATGGGAGTCTCCAATTTGTAGCCAAATTAGACGGAAGCTGTGGATAAGCTAGGAATCTACTACTTGTGATTGGCATCTGACGTAGAGTGGAAGCAACGCTGTAGGACTAAGCCCTAAGCCCTAAGTGTCAGAATTGAGTTAAACGGTGAGACACTCAACTGGTGTCGTAGAATTTCTTGATGGGGGGAAAACTCCGCACATTTGGTGACCATAAGTGACTGAAGTGAAGTGTCGTGAGTGCAGTAGAGGTGTGAAAGTGAAAGAGACACACATAAAAGAAGACAGGAGGAAAACGGGGTTTCCCCATTACAGCTTTGCAGAAAGTATTCAGATTCAGCTGCTATTACTTAAGCAAATAACTTCATATATCTGAGATTCCATTTCCTCCTTGTAAGTTTGGGATAAAAATAATATCTACTTTAAGGATTGCTGTAATCTTTAAGTGAGATAAAATTAGCCATTACACAGCACAATATTTGGTATGTGGTATACACTCAATAGATTATAATTAATAGCGATTCTCCTTTGTCTTTGCTCAGTTTCTGGGCAGACAATAACTTTGAGAAACTAACTTTACAGGAAAAATGTGTGCTTCCTGGATTCTGGTGGCGTCAGAGGCTAAGGAAGCTATTAGAGATGGAGAAGGAGGAGGGGGATATCCTGTCCTCTAAAGGGACAAGTCTACTTTGTCTACTCCTTATAGTCTTAGTCTACTCCTTATAACAATTATTGTGAGACAACTTTTATGCTTATTTCTAATTCATGCAACAATCTTACATGGTTGGCATTAATAGCCTCATTTTGCAGATGACAAAACTGATGTTCAGTGAGTTTCAGTGTCTTGCCCATGGTGATAAAATTAGGAACAGAAAGATGTAGGATTTGGACCTACCTCAGTCTGGTTCTCTCCACAAATTTCCTTTACTGATATATTTATTTCTGGATTATTTGTTAATATTTATTTGCTCCTCAGACCCATAAGATCAGTGGAGGGAGAGACCAACCTTTTCTGGTTTTGCCCGTCATTGTATCTTTTGGTACCAAGCTTGGTGCTGAATTCATAGTGGAAACTATGAATATTTGAGGAATATTAATTGAATGAATATGAAGATGAAAAGATGATAAAAGTGACAAAAACCACATTGATGTGGTTCATTAGGATACCTTATTAACACTCTGGAGGATGGTCAGAATAATATATCAATCTACTAGTTCCTAAATTTCTCTTGTTTTAAACCATCTTATGGGTTTTTATAAATTTTTTTATTTGAGTATAGTTGACACACAATGTCACATTAGTTTCAGGTGTACAACACAGTGATTCAGCTTCTTTATACAATATGCTATGCTCACCACAAGTGTAGCTACCATCTGTCACCACACAGCGCTATTACAGTACCATGGACCATATTCCCTATGCTGTACCTTTTCTCTCCATGACTTATTCATTCCATAAATGGAAGCCTGTACCTCCCACTCCCCTTCACCCATTTTACACCCCTACCCCCCAAAACACACACCCTCCCCTCTGGCAACCATCAGTTCTCTGTATTTACAGGTCTGATTCTTTTTGTTTGTTTATTCATTTATTTTATTTTTTAGATTCCACATATGAGTGAAATCATACGGTATTTGTCTTGACAGTTAAACCATCCTACGTTTGAAGTACACCTAATGTGAAAAGGAGAGGTCATACAAAATGGGACAAAGTTCCAGGATACTGACATACAGCTAAGCATTCTAATCCCTTTCACACAGCATAACATAATAGAGGCTCTATTTCGACTATCACCCCTAGAAATGTAACTTATTAATGCAAAACTAAACCCATGGTTTTTTATTAAGAGATATGTTTCTGATTTTTCATTCCACTCCTGTCATACTAAACCTAATTTTGGTGAACAACAACAATAGAATAATTTATTTTTCTTTCTTTTTTTTTTTAAAGATTTTATTTATTTATTTGAGAAAGAGACTGAGATAGAGAGAGCATGAGAGGGGGGAGGGTCAGAGGGAGAAGCAGACTCCCTGCTGAGCAGGGAGCCCGATGCGGGACTCGATCCCGG